AAGTTCATCAGTTTAGCAGAGGTCTGTGATGGTCACCTTCTCTGGGGCCACCATCTTGTCTGCAGGGCTGGGGCCAGGAGGACACCAAGGCCAGAACTGACCGGCTTGGAACAGTTACCAACTCTCTCTGCTGCCACAGCTACCCCACCCCCACCCCTTCACCCCTTCTCCTGAAGGCCCTTGGCATGGCTGGCTTGACCTGCTGCCATGCCCATCCCAGCCCTCTCTGGAGGCAGGTATGGTGAGAGTATCCTCACTGTGCAGACAGAAAAACCGAGGCCCAAGACCCTTGAGTCCGGCCCCCGCCCCCACCCTTGGGCCTGGGTGCGCAGTTGGCAGTCTGGGCCCACGCTTCCCTCACCACTTGACCGTGGAAGGAAGTGCCTAGGTTCGGTTGGGGGGCTGCAGTCAGGGAGCCAGATGTCCCCTTCCTCCTGGACATCTAAGTCCCAGGGGGCCATCTCCCACGGTCACTGCAGAGGTCTGCGCAGGAGCCCCTTAGCTTGTCGTCCTCGAGACCGGGCAATGCCAGGTGCTTTGCTGGCTTGTGGACTCACCTCTGTTTAACTTCCTGAGGGCACTCAGAGCAGCTGGTGGGGTCCCCCCATGCCGAGCCCCCATTTGGTCCCCCAGACAGTGAGCCCACAGGGACCTTGGCAGTCTTTCTCCACCCAGCAGGCCCGGATGGGAGGAAGCCCACACACCTCTGTACCCTGGTTGCCATCCCAATGTCCTGGCCCAGGTTATGGGGAAATGGGTCTGAGGAACGGGTAGTATGCCCTGGAGAGGTTCTCACGGACCCCAACTGAGCTGGGCACTGCCTCTGCTGCCCAGTCCCGGGCCAGAATCCCAGTTGGACCCTGCAGGCTGGCAGCCCCCACCCCACCACTGTCGGAGGCCAGAGGACCCTCCAAGACCACCCTCCCATCCCTGTCTGAGGGGCCTGTCCCAGGTTCCAGCCCGTGTCCTAGCCAGACCAGGATCGGGCCACCCCCATTTCGGCCCCCCGCAGTCAGACTACCCCCTCCCTGGTCCCCAGAACCTGGGCCACCTGGCCAGGCCGCTGGCGGGC